TTGGGCAGATTCTGACTGCGCTCTTCAAGAGCTGTCCGAATCCGCAATAAAATTTTTAAGGTACAATATTTTTCAGGGGGCTTCGAGAGGGGGGCAGGGGGTTATCGTTGACATATTCAGGCAACTACGGCTTCCTCAGGGAGGGGTCAAGTAAGCAGGTTCACTTATCCGACCCCCCCGTCGCTGGAGCACTTCGTGGAGTATGTCATTTGATATTGATACCCCACGAGCTGAATCACATATGATGAGAGGAGGTCCTTGCCCGAAATTATAGCTCTTCCAGAGTATATTTCGACAGCAGAAAAGTTATGGTTCCCGCTTTCTGCTCGTGGAGGCAGAGCGTTTTCTGTTTGTTGGTTCCTACATAAGGTGAGTTGTCAGTCCAGAAGTATCTTGTCTGGCAGTCTGTCCAGATACATGTAGTGGAGCAAGGTCCATTCGAGATAGATAGATAGAAGAATATGGGCCTCGCCGCACTACTCTCAAAATGTGCAAAACGAGAGTGAATCTTCCGCTAGAATTCGGAAAGATACACCGCCAAGATTTTTGTCTTTTGTGCATGTCGAGAGTAGTGCAGCAACGCCCTATATTTTAGGTCTATTCTTGGGATTGCACCTCGGAAATATCTTGTCTGGCAGTCTGTCGAGATACATGTAGCGGATCAAGGTCCATTCGAGATAGATAGAGAGAAGAATATGGGCCTCGCTGCACTACTCTCGAAATGTGCAAAACGAGAGTGAATCTTCCGCTACAATTCGGAAAGATACACCGCCAAGATTTTTGTCTTTTGTGCATGTCGAGAGTAGTGCAGCAACGCCCTGTATTTTAGGTCCATTCTTGGGATTGCACCTCGGACGCCTCTGAAATCACAATTCCAAAATCCGAACCCATAACTTTTTTCCAAAGATGGCAGGGACGTCGCAGAAGGATATAATCTCAGCAGAGTCTCATCAGAAGCATAGTGTTTCCCTCGTGGAGAAGGGTGAAAGAGCATCAGATGTTGCCAATGGTAACTGGTCCATTGGACCACAAGATGACAAATTGGATTAGGGGCCTACCCGACCCACATCTTAGGAAAAGCGCATGGCTGTTCTCCGCTGCTGATCTGCATAGATCAGCGGCGGATATAGTCTGCCCGTTTTTCTTATAGAAATGGGGTCCTGGGCGATCTTTGCCGCTGATCTGCGACGATCGGTGGCCAAGATTGGCCACTTTCTGTACTTGCAAAATCCGGGCCTACAGGACCCGGTTTCGAAATTGCGGGGCAGGGCCCGCCCCCACGAGGCCTTGGGAACACATACGCGCCGACAAAAAAAAAATTCAGCCCCCAGCGAAAATGCGCTGGGGGCAACCGGGAGGGAACCGGCCTGGGCCACCGGCCGGTCCAACCGGAAGGACCGCGGATGGGGTAGGGGTCCCCGGTCCATCCGGCGACCAGCCCTGCATCAAAGTCAAAATCATTCAGTTTTTAAACTTTTTTTTTTTTTTTTTTTTTCAGAAAATGAAGCCCGCCTTCTCCTCATATGGGGGGACAGCTGCATTTACCATGCTATTTTCTTCTCTCAATATTTTTCCATCTCACACTACCTACCTCGGGCTGTCTACTGGTCTACCCACCTTCTGGACTTGCAAAGGGCACGGCAACCCAACCAGCAAGGAATCCCGGTCCTTGTTTCAAAGGCCAACCACAGGGTTTAAGGTCGAAGACAACCCACTACCTACCAAAGGTTATGGATTGGATTCCCGGTCCTACTCCGCTCCACTCTGCTCGATGCGGCGAGTAGTACCCCAGTTCCTAACACCCGGCACGAGCTGGAAAGCATGCACAGCTGCTTCCGCAACGAGCCAGCACACCCAAGCCAATTATCTCCACCCACTGGTGAACCCGAATCATATCACAGGCGCCCATGGGGGATTGAACGGACACAGTGGGGAACCGAACCCACGACCTCCTGAATACCACTTACGTGCTCAACCAACTGAGCCATTTTGATTATTCGATGATTTGTATTGATTTCATCATTCAAATACTCACCCATCTGTGAGCAGGCCCTGCAATGGATTTCCATGTGTCTCAAGACTCTCGAGTCTCAACCTTTCTATATAATGGCCCAAAAATTCAGCTCTGCGGGTTTTTTGGTGGGAAGAGGCCGATTGCAGCGAACAAGCAAGCAAGAGAACGGATATCGCTTGACGGGAAACAGAGATGGAAGAAACAAAAACAGCAATGAGAAACACACCCTGATGAACAATGAATGTATAGAAGCTATCTTTGCAATCACATACAGTCATGATGACGGTGTGTTATCTTCCGGGGAAAAAAACATGGTTGCTAGCTGGTTTGAAAGAGGGTGTGGGTGACAGCGCACCCACCTGCACAATCTCTGTCTTGTTCTTGCATCCTCGGCACTCAAACGTGTTCTTCTTCAGATTGGAAATGGCGAGAAGCCCGCAGAGTTCACATACATGGACTCGGTAAGCGTCACTCTGGTCGAACAGTCTCTCTTTCAAGAAATGTGCAGCACCATGCGCAATCATACAATCTCTCTCCATCTCTCCGAAACGCAGACCTCCGTCTCTTGACCTTCCTTCTGCAGGTTGTCTCGTCAGAATCTGCACGGGGCCACGACCTCGAGAATGGATCTTGTCGTCCACCATATGCTTCAGTCGCTGGTAGTACGTCGGGCCCAAGAAAATATGAGCAAATAACCGCCGCCCTGTGTGACCATTGTACATAACTTCAAACCCACGCATTTGGTACTGACACTTGTGCAAGGCCTTGCTGATGTTGTCGACCTGAGGAAGCCATACAAAATGGATCGGAAGTCCATCACACATGCATTAAGAAAAGAAAAAAAAAAAGCATCAGGTAAACTTGGGCAACACAATCCACTACTCCGATGTCATTGTTCTTTCTTCGTTACTCGTAGCAAACCACAAGCACCTCCGAGCCGAGCCGAGCTGAGCCTAGCCTCTTTTTCCCAACGCGGACTTGCGCACTGTACGCCAAAAAAAAACGAGCCACAAGCGTCAAATTTTCTTTGCTTTTTTCGCCGGCGCCGCCAGCCATGTTGCTCCTTTGACTGGGCGACGTACTGGTGGTTAGAGTCCTAACAAAATGGACAAGGGGACGGGCAAACAAAAAAGCCAAAATGGACAAACACAGACTCCGTCACAAAGACATAAAAAGAATAAACATGACGCAAAGTCGAGCCGCATCCGTCAATGCATTCGCCGCCAATATTCTTTCCTCTTAAACCAGTAGTACCTTTGCCGTCCAGTTTCGACAAGTTTTAGCCTAGTCCCAAACTTTTAGGAGGCCGGGCCCGACAACAACGGCTGCCGTTGATAAATCTGATCGGCGGCCGTCGTTTCATTTCGTTTCGGCCTCCTGAAAGGTCGGAGGCCCACTATTTTCCGAGCAGACAAAGGTACTACTGTCTTCCCCCGAACACAATGCACCCTCATTTTGGCTGTTATCTGGCCGGAAATATAGCTTGTATACATTCATTTTTAGGGTGCGTTACGTTCGGGGGAAGACTTAAACCCTCCTAACAAAACGCACAAACATGAAGCGCATCACAAATGCACTAAACCACAACTACCTCCGAGCCTCTTTTCGCCAAGGAGGCAAAGAGTTTAAAGAACCGTGTGCCAAGCTTTGTATATTAGTATCCAATCTACTCAATAGGCACAACTCAAGCAGGACAATTGATACGTCCACAGTCATGATTCTTTCTTACTTGATATCGTCCTCCAGTTCTCCGATCAAATCAGATGTCACAGCCATGCACAAAATTCAAATTTCAAATTTCAAACCCATCGTCTGCCAAAAATTTCAAACCCATTTTTATTTTTGCACATTCGCAAATTTGGACTACTTTTCTGCACACATATAGAGTCCTAGACAACACCGGACCAATTTTCACCTTCGATGCACAAATTCGAGCCACATTCCGACCACCCGCCGTTCCAGAATTCCGGCCAATTTTTCTGCGCCAGCAAACAAAGTTGCAGCATTTCGACAATCATGCACCGATTCGGACCTGTGTGTTTACCCCTCTGCTGAAATGGCAAAAGAAAAAAAAAGAAGAAATGGCTCGACCGTGCGCCATGCCCTCACTCGGCTGTCTGTTGTCTCATCTTGTCTGCTGCTCTTTCCTTCATTTGTTGTGCAGAGTGCGCCAGTTTCGTTGATAGATAAATAGATACCTGAACAGTTAGGTATGTGACAAGTTAGGATGAGGCACTACTGACCGTGACATCTGTGAATGGTGTTGCGTCTCCCTCTTTCCCCATGTGCGCCGCAACTTTGCCCATGATGCACTCAATCAGCTGGCCGATGGTCATCCGACTAGGAATAGCATGAGGGTTCACGATAATGTCCGGGGTGATGCCTTCGCAAGTCCACGGCATGTCTTCTTGCGTGTACGTCATTCCCACAGTCCCCTTCTGACCGTGTCGAGAACTGAACTTATCTCCGATCTGTGGGATACGGATCGACCGCACTCGTATCTTCACAAACCTCAAGCCTTGGTCGTTTGTCGTCAACAAAACCTGCGAAAGACCCGCATGCACTGTGAGGATGACAGAGTGCCACCAAAAAAGAAAAGGAAAAGTGAAGAAATTTAACCAAAAAAAAAAAAAAAAAGAGTGCCACCAAAAAAGAAATGGAAACCTGAAAACCTGAAAACTTTTACCCCCCCCCCCAAAAAAAAAAGTGCCACCAAAAAAGAAATGGACGGCACGTCACAGCAGACCAGACTCCATAATACTCCATATGCTGAGACCTCCAATGGATCCAGTTTAAAAATATAACAGAGACAAAAAGCACAGCAGAGCAGACTACATCTTGATGAATCGACTCACCTGATCAACCATCCCGCTCTCGCTGTGTCGGAGAGAGGTACTGTTGTCTTTTTTTGTGAATCGCATGGCATTTCCATTTGGATCATCTGGAAGAGGCGCAGTCTTTCCAATAATAACATCTTCTCCTGAAACGCGTGACCCCTGCCCGAGGAGGAGACACAACCATGAGAACGTAACTAACCAGATCAACTGCACGTTAGAACGTATTCACACTCCTGTACATTTTTTTTTCAATTGAATCTTATCCCAAATTACAGTCAGATACGGCAAGAAAAGTTCAAATGGATTGATTGCTCATTCGACCGATCATATATGAGGTTGCAGAATCTTGACACGCGTGTCGCAACATACCAAAAAGCGCTTCCTCACAATTTACTACATCTCGACTGACACCAAAAACACATCTGGAGAAGATCAAGGTTCATTCCTCAGACATGCAGGAGAATATCCAACGGTTCTAGTCACCTTCTGTACCCATTCACACTACCACACAGAGATGAAGCAGGAGGGTCGGGGGCGGGGGGGGGGGCGAAGGGGGGGGGCAGGGGAGAGAATGCCCAGGGGGGAGGGGGGGGGGGGGGGGGGGGGGGGGGGGGGGGGGGGGGGGGGGGGGGGGGCGGGGGGGGGTGTCAGGAGAGAGAATGCCAAGGGGGAAGGGGGGGGGGGGAGGCGGTTGAGCAGGGTGGGCCACAAAGAGAAAGACGGGGCAAAGACGGGGAGAACCCGAGGGAGCAGGGTAATGGGAGAAAAGGGGAGGATTTGCAGGAGTGGCAGACACGAAAATGCGAAAATATGCAGATGAATGGGAAGGGGTTCAACGGACTGTTCAGACAAGCTCACAGACTTGGAAGAACAGCACACAGATGCGAGGGTCGACATCGGAAACCTAGTTCGAACTCACCGGCTGCGCCAGTCCGTCGTCATCAAGCTTATCATATGACCCATGCCTCATTCCCTGGCAAATCAAATCAATTCGATGACAGGATGAAAACCAGGGCAAAGAGAATGGTCAGTAACACCTTCCATTATTGCACAATTTTTTGAACTTCTAAACTTGTTCCTTGAGCACACAGCATCAGCGATCAGGAATAAATGTTGGCAGCAAGGTGTAGGCGGTGTAGCGCAATATGGCACTCTCGACTTGTGTGCGTGTCATCCTTGCCCAGGGGCCATGCTAATCTTCTCTGTGTCGATGCAATTTTAATGGAGATCACGAAGTACAAAGTGTGGGGCAATCTAATGTACTTGCTCCTGTTAACTTATGCCATTTTATCTTATGTGCCCGAGTACACAGACACGAGCTGCCATTGTATCTTATGTGCCTGGGCACACACACACACACACACACACACACACACACACACACACACACACACATCCAGCACTCGCATCCAGCGACTCGCTGAGTCAAGGACACGCATCCCAATGTAAACAGATGGGGCATCTCAGAGAACCGGCGTAAGTTGAGGTAAAAGCATACACGTCAACCAAATAATGTCTGCCACATGACCATTCTAAAGACAAACTTTTAAACCTCGCCGCCCAGACAAAGGTTAAGAGGGCCAAAAACACACGGGAGCACTGAAATTTGGTGCACAACGAATGGCTATAGAGTATTGAGTAGATGTTGGTATAAGAGAGCAGGAGATACAAACCGATGTTGTCTCCCGATTTGGTCTCTCAAACTCCTCCTTCACTAGGGTTCCTTGCTTTTTCTCTTCATCTCTGCAAAGCAGCATGTGCCAACAAATGGTCCCCCCCAAAACAGAAAACATCAAACATGTTTAACCAAGAAGCAAATTGGCAGATGATAACTCACCACAGACAAGCAACAAAACAGATCATGTATGTGTACATACTATACAACTAGGACACACAGTTTTCATTGACAAGCGAACTACTCAATCAACAGAGATTTGTGAACTGTCACAGAATTACAACCGCTTATTCGCACACACAGACACACACACACACACACACACACACACACACACAAACACACACACACACACACAGAGAGAGAGAGAGAGAGAGATGCATAACCACAATGGTTCTTTGTTCCTCTCCATGATGCATGATCAATACGACCGGTAGTCGCCTATTTTAAAATTTAAACCACCAGTCCCGATAAAACTATACTGTAGAACCGAAAAAACAACCATGATGCATGATCAATACTACGGCAGTCACCTATTTTAAACTTTAACCTACCATTCCCAACGAACCGATACTGTGGAAACGGAAAAACAACCTGGCCCGGGCCTGCGAAACCTGAAACGTCACTCCCATCCACAGCAACTTTGTCGAATATGCAATTGGTTTGACGCTTTCTTTTTCTTTTTTCTTTTTCTTCTGTCGGTGAGATCATTTTTGTTCATTCTTTTTCTCTCTGATGAGCGAAAGCCGCAAAACATGATCTACATCCCTGATCGGAAACTATCGTCGTTAGAAATGAGAATTAAAAATCGCCAAAGTTGGGGTACTCAGAATTTTGCACCCTCCCCCGGTACCCCCCCCCCTGGTCCAGTAGTCCGAGCCTTCGTTTTCACAGCTAGCATATAAGCGCATTTCTTGGCGTGGCAGGGGCTGGGAGTGGTCGTGGTTTAATAGCATTATTAGATACAAGTATGTTTAAATCAGTAAACGGTGAAAGCCTTGTGACAAGATAACCGACTGTGTGAGAAAGACACAAACCTGTATGATCGGAAGAAGATAGAACGAAAAAAGCCTCGATCAATCGATGACTGATTCATAATAACTGAGTCTTCTTGATTGTAGCCAGAATAGCATGAAATAGCCACAACCGCATTCTGCAACAGGACAGCAGAATGAAATGGTGAACATGCCATTCTGATCAGAGATTCTCAACCAACAACATGCAGCAGAATGAACAAGGTTCCGTAAATCATCAAGAAATTCAAAACACGAAAATAAGCTCCTCTCTCTCTCTCTCTCTCTCTCTCTCTCTCTCTCTCTCTCTCTCTCTCTCTCTCTCTC